CTTAGAAGCTTTAATGGTTTTTTGAGAAATTGGATTGAAGGTTGAAGATGAAGAATAGTAACTCCACTTTTCTTGCGTTTTCCAGAACGGTACGAACGACCATGCGGATCCAACGGTCGACCGTTACGGACATTTTAAGTCCAAAAATGCTATTTTTGAAGATATAAAATTCTATTTTTGATACATCAATATAAAGACAATTTCTTAGAGTAAAAAAATGATATTTGGACAACTAAAGAACCTTTTATGATGTATGACGATAAGCTAGGGTGTTAACACTCGATGCTAGGCCGCTATTTGTTATTGGATATTATGATGATTATTATTGATGTTGTTTATGATCAGACTTTGATGAATATTCTTATTAGAATAATAATTATGAATGATTGAATCATGATTAAAAATGAATATATTGATGATTATGAAAATGATGTGTATTGTAAAGGATTCCTAGAAGAACTCTAAGATATACCCACTTGGAAATTGCTGATGATTATTAAGGATATCTAAAAGAACTCTAAGATATACCTCCTTGACCAATTCATAATTCGGGGTTAAAATGTACGTTAGGGATCCAAACTGGATATCACCCGCCCGACAATTCACTATTCGGTTGGTACGTAATCTACATGACTCGTAGGGTGGATTATGGATTATTGTGTTCTGCCTTAAACTATTTATACTTTAAGATCCCGGTTAGAAATATTGGCTTAGACTAGTCATGGTTCAAGAGCTATGTTATCAATATTAATTTGACCTGGGCTAAAAAGTGTTTAAGAACATTGATATGATTTGGCCTTAACTTAGAATAAGTTAGGAGCAAATTTTGATAAAATTTGATATGAAATTATGTGTAACAAATGATGAATATTGTGATAACAAAAGTGACATGTGATTATTGTGAATTATGGACTGATTACTACATAAGTTTGAATGATGATATTTAAGAACTGACTATATTCATTATCATTGTTAAAATAACCAAGACGAATTTAAATATGAAAAAGCGAATATTTGAACATATATATGTGATTGGTATTGTTTAAGAAAGTATTCTGTGAATTCTTTCTTTGTGTCATGGTACCACTCAGCTTCATTGTTGAGCGTGTAGACTTTTTCATCTTTCTACACGTAGGTATGAGAGAAAATAAATGTGGAGCCTATTCCGGAGATTACTGAGATGGAGGTGATGCGTGGACGGTGCACAAATCTACTATTTAAGTAAATGATTTTATCACATGGTTGACCATACTGTTGTAGTTTGCAAATCGCTTCCGCACTGTTATTATGAAATATTTTACACAATTGTTCAAATAAAGTTTTTAAATGTTTGAAATTTTTACATTAGCAAGTTAATACTTTAGTTCGATAGGGGCTGCAGGCCTGGACAGATTAGGGTGTTACAGAGTAGGTACTCAATTTCGGTTCTTGGATTCCGTACGTACGTTTTAACCTACCCTAGCCACTTGCATCATACCCACAAGGCCCATTTCTAATCTATCCTAGAGGTCTTCTAGATAGTACTAGAAACCAATATCAATATATCCTAGAGCTCTTCTAGATATCCTTAATAGTCATTATCAATTCCAAATGGATATATCTTAGAGTTCTTCTAGATATCCTTAACAATACAAATCACTTCATAATCATTGATGAATTCATTTTAATCATGGATCAATCATTAAAAATGATTTTAATCAGTAGGTTCATCAAATCATAATCATCATAATAATCATTTATCATAATCATCAATCAACATAACATCCAATAGCAAATAGCGGCCTAGCCTCGAGTGTTAACACCCTAGCTTATCATCATGCATCACGTAAGGTCTCTTTAGTTGTCAAAACATCATTTTTATTCCAAGAAATCATCTTTATACTAATCATAATTGATTAGTATCAAAAATAGCATTTTAGAGCTCAAAAATAGCATTTTCGAACAAATTTTCGGATCAGAGTTTTGGGGGATCCATCCAGCCCTCTGGATCGATCCAAACTAGAATAAAAACGCCCAGAGGATCTGTAACGCCCCAAAATTTACCCTAAAATTTATTGAATTAAATATTCAATTAAACAAAATTTGTTTTGATTAAAATAAATTGTTGTTGGGCTTTGGGCTGAAATAAAATATATATTGATATCCAATAAACATAATTGGGAGAAATCTCATAGAGATAAATCCAACATGTTGATTTATTGTGTGATCTTGATTGAGAACCTGAGTACAGACCCAAATTAAGAATAAATGAAGAAATTGTTTATAATGTGAACTTTGAAATGATTTATTGAAATAAATCATGGAAATAAATATTATGAATTAAATGTGAGAACCTTTTTGAATAAAGGTCAATTAAACCAATTTTGACTCTGTCAAAGTCAACCACCCAAAAATATGATGTCGGAAAAAGTATAACGAATAAATATAAAAATTATATCGTTGGATAGAGTTTAATTGCACGATCGCAACGGTGCAAACGGATTTCAATTCGGAGAAAGTTGTACCAAAAAGTGTACCCCGACTAGAACCAAAATTAGTCCCAATCAGGGACGGCGCCTCCTACTCCACTCAGCCGATCGAGGATGCATTCCTACGCAAATCCTAGGCAGCAAATGTTGTCACCTTCCCCATTCTCTTCCTATATAAGGCCACCATCAACCCTCTCATTCCTCACCAAAAACTAATGAGTTTAGTACCAAAGTGTTCCTGAGAGTGAGGAGAACATGTTGCAGTAGTTGGTGGCCACCGAAGTCGTCGGAGTTGGGAGTTATCATCGCCGGAAGTTTCGCTGGAAATTTTTCAAAACCTTCGATAAGCTTTGAGTTAAGCCCGTAGATATATCTAGTGACTAGAATGTTCGTATAGATCGTTTTTGCGTTCATAAACGGTCGTTTGGTTGAGTTTTGTGTTTGACATGTTTGAAGAACCAAGAATCATAAACCAAGAAATTGTTGTTAAAACTACGAATTAATGACTCTAAAATGATCTGTGAACATTGGAGAACATTCCTATATAATCTAATTGAAGTTTGGTAATTAAAAATGAGGATGTTAAAAAATTGAACAGAGGAAGAAGATGATGAACAGTGGCCGAAAATCGATTATTTCCTTCCTGATAATCGATTAAAAATTTGTTGTTCGAAGTCAGTATATTAAAAAAAATATACATAATCTATTATCCTAATTATAAAAATCGATTTAATTGTATTAATCGATTATTTAATAACTAAATATCGATTTTAAGTATTAATTGATTATTTAAAGTATAAAAATCGATTTTTAGCAATTAATTTATTATTTAAAATATAAAAATCGATTTTTAGTAATTAATTGATTATTTAAAATATAAAAATCAATTTTTAGCAATTAATTGATTATTTAAAATATAAAAATCGATTTTTAGCTATTAATTGATTATTTTAAATATAAAAATAGATTTTTAGGTATTAATTGATTATTTTAAAAATGAAAATCAATTTTTTTTCAAGTCCAGATCATGTTCCAATAATATTCTGAAAATATATACTCTAAAATCCACCAATTGATTATGATCATTGGAAAAATGATTTACCATAATAAAAATGATGTTTTTAACAAATAAAAATGTTATGTGATGCATGACGGTAAGTTAGGGTGTTAACACCCGAAGCTAGGCCGCTAATTGTTATCGAATGTTATGTTGATTGATGATTATGGTAATGATTATTGATTGATGATTATGATGATTGAATCTTGATGAATATTCTGATTAAAATGATAATTTTGAATGATTAAATCATAATGAATATATTGATGATTGTGAAAATAATATGTATTGTTAAGGGTATCTAGAAGACCTCTAAGATATACCCATATTAATGTTGATTTGAAAGGTATCTAGAAGAGCTCTAAGATATACCTATTTAAGTTAGGCCTTGCGGGTATGAACCCTGGTGGCTAGGGTTAAAACGTACGTACGGGATCCAAGAACCAAACTTGAGTACCTAGTCATTTGGGGGTACCACCCACCCAACAGTGAACACTACGCTATCAGTTTTTGGTTGGCTTTGAGTGAAGGTAAGTTTAAGATTTTCAAAACCCTTTTATCTTAAACTAGGCCTAGCTTAAGGATTATTTAGGAATATTTTATACTGGAATATAGTTTAATTATTTAAACTAGAATTCGTTTAAGGGTTGAAAAATATTAAAGTGATTGGCCGTAGACTAAGAATAGTTTAAGGATATTGTTGAATGTTGAATATTGAATATTGAATATTGAATATGAGTAAATATTGAATGATGAATATTGAATTGAATATTGCAATTATTATGAATGACTGATGAACATTGAATGTGAATAAAAATGTTGAATAATGCATGATGAATAATTTTTAATAATTATTGTTTATCTGAACTGAATATTATGTGCATGATATCAAATGATTTGATTATGAATTTAGATTCAGTTTATATGGATGCTCGATGCATTAGATATGTTTACTCAGCTTCAACGCTGAGCGTGTAGTATGTTTTATTTGCTACACGCAGGTTAATGAAGTGACGTGATCCTGGAGGCAGACGGAGGCGAGATTGTCGGAATGGATGTGATGGTTTTGAATTAAAGAACATAAATAAATTATGTTTGTGATTATGATTGTTAAGCTTCCGCAATATTGAAAACTCCGTACTGTTTATATTATGAAAAATATTATTGTGATAAATAAAAGTGTTTGAAATGTTTTAAATTTTTACGATTACCAAGTTAATACTTTAATCTGAAAGGGGCTGCAGGCCTGGATAGATTAGGGT